AAGGGCTGTTATGTGTTTCAGTGTGTGTGAGTCGGGGAAGTGGGCCTGTAAGAGCCGGTCCTGTCCTGGGAGCTGTGCTGTGGAGGGGGGAGCTCACATCTCCACCTTTGATGGCAAGACCTACACCTTCCATGGAAACTGCTACTATGTCCTGTCCAAGGTAACGTCCCTGCCCATTACTGTAGGACGTCTTTTCTTTGTCATTTCCAGATGTTGCAAGCTGTCCTATAGAATGTAAATTGGTGCAGTCATGATAAAAAGTTGGCTTGAGTAGGTCAACTCTATTTGTACCCTCTCAGGACTGTGACGGAGCCAAGTTCAGCATCCTGGGAGAACTGATTCCCTGTGGCTCCAAGGACTTGGACACCTGTCTGAAGACAGTGGTGGTGCTGCTGGAAAACGACAAGAACAATGTGAGTGTGGAGCCAGAGAGACTGGTACTGGAGGGACAAGATACCAAGAAGGACAGGTTTCACTCACAGTAACTATATTCTTATAAAGAAGAAAAATCCCATTAAAGAACAAACCATAATAAGAATTGGCAGAAAATGTATGTCCCCGATTAGACAGTAGATTTTGTGCTTCCTCCATCTTTATATTCCTTGTTATTGTTGTAGGCGTTGCTGTTTAAAGCTGATGGGAAAGTGCTCCACAACTCGGCTGAGATCAGTCTCCCATACAACATGGGTGAGAACTAGACTCCGTCTGTTGGGAACGTGCCCTGTTGTGTAGGGTGTATGATGAGACTTGAGCTGAGCATTGTGACGGTCACAACATAGAACTGCATGAATATACGAATAGTCAATACAGATCTAATGACTTCCATTTCTGTCATTGTTTAGCTCACCTCCATGTCTTCAGACCCTCCTCCTTCCATATCATCCTGCAGTCGGACTTTGGTTTGCAGCTGCAGGTCCAGCTGGTTCCCATCATGCAGGTCTATGTGTCCCTGGAGCAGTCCTACAAAACCAAGATGTGTGGTAAGTTGCACTGCATCTGTTCCACAATAAAACTGGAGCTCTCTGGTAGCTAATCTTTGCCTAACAGCCTGTATTGCAGTTCCTTTGCTATGGAAAATGACAGTAAGTTGCTCAGGCAGAAGCCCCACTGTAAGCAGTGTCTTGTGCACAGGTCTGTGTGGAGACTTCAATGACGTTCAGAGTGATGACTTCAAGACCCAGCTTGGGCTGGTGGAAGGCACAGCTGCCCCCTTTGCCAACTCCTGGAAGGCCCAGGCCAGCTGTCCAGACAGGTCTGACCGGCTGGATGACCCCTGTGCCCTCAGTGTGGAGACAGGTGAGAGTCCAAGAGCTGCCTTCCATGTCCATATACAGCATGCGCTGGCCAGATAATGGGACTGAGTGTATCCAACCATTTGTCTAAAAACTGCATCTCTGCCACGTTGGAGTCTAAAGGTGTACAGGGATTTGTGTTCTGAATATGCGGCAAATGTTTAAGAACATGTCTGGATATTGCAGCAAGTGTTTTATTATTAGTAATTAAGACAAAAATAGACATTAGCTTTTCTGTATCACACTGGAAGAGACTTAACTGGATGATGAAAAAACAGCAACAGGAAGGTGAATATCAGCCTCACAACAAAAGCTTGAGTGAATAATGACTACGAGATTCCTCATCTTATTCCTCATAAAGACACTGACAGAGAGAATAAGGAGAGCTAATCAGATCAATTTTGGTCATGTCAGATCTCTGATGCAAAACATTTTCTTGCTTCAATTTTTAACATCTAACAGCTGATTGTCAGGTTTTTTCTAAAGTTGTGCATTATCAGCCTATAAATGAAAGTTGATGCCATACAAACAGTATGAAGAGTCTGTACTGTAACTCAAAACCTTCACTACAATTGACAATCTTGACTAGATTTTAATAAAAAAATGTCCAGGATTTTATTCCTTCATGAGTTTGGGCAGTATGCAATACCAACAATTTGATAACAGAAAACATTCTGTTGGATTTATCATAGGCTGTCACTATAAATGGTAATAATTGATGCTATTGATTATTAGTGGTCTGTAAAACTAGTCCATTACAGTAGTTCTGTGGAACTGAGGTGTTCCTGTGCTTCCATCCCACAGAGAACTATGCTGAACACTGGTGCTCCGTTCTGGAGACTGACAGGAAGTTTGCGGAGTGTCATGCGCTGGTGAATCCCAAGGACTACTACAAGGTATGGATGTGAACTCCAAATCCAGATCATCTTGATCTGTAGAGAAAATGAAGCAAATAATTCTTCTGGTCAACTTGGATGTCTAATGTATAGCTGGTTTCCTGCCTGCTGTGATTCCAGAAATGCGTGTACTCCACCTGTAACTGTGAGAAGAGTGAGGACTGCCTGTGTGCTGCCTTGTCCTCCTATGTGCGAGCCTGTGCTGCCAAGGGTGTGAGTCTGCAGGACTGGAGGAGCACTGTGTGTGGTGAGTGGGGGAGGGAGGGACTGGGGCAGAAATCACACTGGAGTAGTGCTGACATACAGTAGGGGGTGTACTGATCCTCAGAACCACACAGAGAAACCAGCTGTTTTGGGCACATTAGCTGAACCCTTTACAAAAAATGTAAAAAAGGACAAAATATGGGAAATTTTACAGCTGCCAAACCCCACCTCAGCTATCCCATGTGATTGAGACCAAGATGACTGGTGTATCTGCCTGTTTTGCTGTAATGGGCCTGTGTGCCAGAGTCCTGTTTGCTGAATATGGTAACAGCAGCAACTCCAATAATGAAAGAGTCCTTCTGTGTTTCACTCTGCCAATGGTGACCTTACATTGCCCATTGCTCATTACAGGCTCTTGGCCTGTACAAGGGATTGCACATCTGAACCCGCTAAGATTGAACCATGCCCAGTGACACCTCATTTAGAATATTGTGTATAATTATAGTGACTAGGTTACTAAAGATATTTCTGCTCTGGAATCAGTCTAGAGAAGATCAACCAAGCACATCCCTGGGATCAGAGGGAATATCCTAAACTGACTACAAATACTGAATCACTTTAGTCTCAAACAAGGAGGGCTCAAGCAATATCACTTGCTGTAGTACTGTAGTAGAAGAGTAGAACCTTGCAGCATAACCCCGGTCTTGTTAAGAACATAAGAATTCCTCCATAAGAACTGATGATGATCGTTATTCCATGCTGAAAAGAGAAGAAAAGAAACAAAGTTTCGGCTGTGAAGCCTTCACACCCGAAGAAGGCTCCACAGCTGAAACGTTGTGTTTCCTTTCTTCTCTTCTCAGCACGGAATGTTTTTTTCTGTTATCCCTTTCTTGTTTCTTTCCTGTCCTCATCATTCTCCTTTTGCGATATATTGATGTCTTTCTTTGTTGCCCTATGTTGCTGCAACTGTTGAAATTATGTAATTTTGTTTGTTTCCAATAAAAAAACACTAAAAAACATGAGAATTGTTACCAAATGACGCAACTAGTTCATTTGATTAAAATAGTTTGTTGCATGCAATTATACTGCACAATTGTTTGTCCACCATCATAAGTGAATAGTAGGTAATCAGTTCTCTAATCAAATATTTTATGAAATTAAGGGGATAGATTTGAAATTGGTACCAATAGCTTTTGTTGCATTATTGCTGTCTCTCAGTATCTAATGATTGGGAATGTACGGTAGATGATGTCTTGTATTTTACTTATTTTAAATTCACTTCAATTACTTTTGTTATTGAAAAGACTGAATCCCTTTATTGGCTTGGCACTTTTTATTGTATAGCTTTATGTATCAGGAAGCATCTCAGTAGACTACCTCTCTTCTGTCAAAGAGAAAGCCTCTAAAACTGTCATCAGCCTTTTCAGATGTTTGAATAGTCCTGAATTTGTGTTCTTTATATTTTTGTTACTGTATTCCATTTTATTAAATAAACAACTATGTTTGGATAAATAAGCAAGTAAGTCAAAAGTTCCATAAAATACTATTATTTTGAAAAAGATTGACTTACATACAGTATGATATTAAATGAAAAATATTTGATAGCAGTGAACATTTTGGCAGCTGTTGAAAAATGAAATGCTGTTCTACTATAGTACAAGTGCTCCAAGAACAACTGTGTGAGTGTAATAATTATATTTAATAGGATCACAATGTTAGTTTAACTGCTTTAATTAAAGAAACAGTGCAAATATTGTGATTCACCTAATTAAATTATAATCCCATCCTTAGTTTCTTTATATGTGATAAGACACCCTGTTACTGTTACTGATTGTCATTAATTGTGCATGTTCTGATTCACAGACACATATATAGAGAGCTGTCCTGACACCCAGAACTTCTCCTATGGGCTCAGTGGCTGCCAGCGCACCTGTCTCTCCCTCAGCTCTGATCTCCAGTACTGCTCCCCCACCTTCCTACCTGTGGACGGCTGCACCTGCCCTGACGGTCTGTACCAGGATGAGCATGGCATCTGTGTGCCCATGGACAGCTGCCCCTGCTTCCACAATGGAGACCAAATCCAGCCTGGGAAATCCATCACAACCAAGGATGAGCAGTGGTAGATACCATTTCCAGTACTCTTTAATAGACTTACAAATGGGAGATTACGAAAGTGGTGAAAATCAGGATGAAGCAAAAAGGTCAGCATTTTATGAATCAAAATCCATTATTCAGTCCAGTTTCTTTCTTCCTGGGGTATCAAGCCAGTTACTGGCTGATCCTTTTCCACCAGGCTCCATAAATGGTGCCCTCACTGCACGCAGCTTTGGTCTGCCCAACACAAAAGCAGGCCTGGTTCTATTCGTCAACACTGGGCTACTGGGAGTGAAGCTGCTCTGGCCCAAATTAATGCCCACTGCCTCCAGTTGGCACTACAGTGTGAACTCCCAGATCAGTTCAAATCGGTGCTGTCTAATCTTATTGCTGGGAGTCAGAGAAATGGCAGCAAGGCCAATGTTAACTGGAGACCTGATGGGTTCATTGCTCTATCTGTGCTCCTGCTGCAGTGAGGAAGGGAAAGTTCAGGAATGAAATCCTGGCTCCCTGATACCTAGCAGAGCTTCACTGCAGACAGATGTGGGCGGTGACACAGACAGCTTGTTAGTCCTGCAGACAGAAGTGAGTTCTTGAAGAGGCGTGTATGCAGGTTCGACAAGGAAAAGCTGTCCCTGCAGTAGGACACAGTCTCTAGGATGACAGGGCAGGCCTCAGAGCTGTTGCCCCTGCTCTTGCAGTGTCTTGCAACTCACCCAGCCCCCTGAGGTAGCCTGATTGTTATAAGGACTCTGGTAATGCCACAGGCCTCTCACAGGGACCCAGGGGCTCAGGCTACTGACACCAACACTGTCAGTACTTCTGCCTCCAGGAAAGCTGCTTCCACTGCTGCTGTGCCCTGTGTCTTCTGTCGGCCAGGGCTCTTCCTTCTCTGGCAGCTTGTGGAAGCCAGGTGGAGGTGCAGGAAGCTGAGATCCACCCTCAGGTGTGGTTCCTTTGGGTGTAGAGGCCTATTACTGTGGAGCTGGTGGCTGTTTGTCAGTCTCTGTCTCAAGTGGTGGACCGCTGTCTGCAGTCTTTTATGCATTAGAACATTCTACCGTGGACAGTTCTAGCCCTGACATTTGATCATCCAAAGAAAACAAAGACTGGGCTTTCCTGTTTAGAGAGCAACTCACTCTCCCCTGTTTCTGCTCCATCTACCTGGTCAGTACTAGGCTCACACACCTCTACCTTTTCACTAACAGCATTCAGAGCAACACCCGTCCTGTCCTCCAGCAATCTCTCTTCTGATCTCAGTCTTTACACCTCTAGGTTCAGATGACTCTGACACCTCTGCATCTATCGAACCCTCTTTTGACCTGTTGCTCTTTGATTCCGTCTCTCCCACATTTGAACACCAATTATGGAACTTATTCCCTAGCTCTTTGTAAATTATTTTTATTTCACTCGAAATCAGAATTTGACCAAGCGGTTCAGTTAGTAAGTAAAATAACTATTTATAACCCCCAGAGTGATTTCTAGCAACATACAGCACTTGAGCGGCTGGTATAACTAGAGGCACGTGAGCTCTTTGTTCTCTTGTACAGCTTTGGTGAGAGGAGTAATAATCCAGGCACACTTGGTTAAACAAATATTTAATAGAATGACAAGACACAAACTACACTACATAAAACAAAACATACTGTACAACACACTAGTTACTCTATGTACAGTTATTACAAACAAGGTGTTTCTGAGGCCTAACATTCTGGTCACCCAGAAAACCCCAGACTGCTGCTATGCAAAGCTCTTAATGCCTACAGAGGCCAGACAGGAGAGAAGCTGCCTTCTAACTAAATACAATGTAACCTGCAGTTAAATCTCTCTCTCTGCACCCTGGATGCCGCAAAATAAATGGGAGCCTATATCCCTATCCATAAAAAAGCACCCTTAGCAGGAAAGACATTTCTAACTGAGGTATCTTTTACACAACAAACCCAAGTTCCCTAAAAACACAGAATAGCATGCTCTCTCTAGCAAGGTTCAAATGCTTAGCTCCAGTCAGGTTTGGTTTGGAAGTAGGGGCTCTCGCCTGGCTACTTAAACTTCAAGTCCCAACTCTTCTGGACACTTGTCTCTCCTCTCCTTGTTCCCTGCCTCTGGCTTCTTCTCTTTCTCTGTGCTCTTAATGTGCTCTTATATTGCGTGTTTCTGTACTGCTCCTTTACAATCATCAACCCACAACTTACCTACAGTAGGTACTGTATACTAAGGTAAGCTTTACATTTTTTCTGCTCAAGGGACCCCTGTAACAATACTGTACACCCGATTATCAGTGAGATTCAAACAAATGGTGGCATAATTGTCTTTTTCTTTTTTTCAGTGAACTGCAGCATAAAACCAATGCAGGGACAATGTCAGATTTTAGTATATAATTTTAAATACATCTGTTTTAATACTCCTTTTTCTTCTTGTTATCACTGAGATATGTAACCTACAGATTCTGTGTTTTCAGCATGTGCACCAATGGGAAGTTACACTGCCTGTCTACAGAAACATCGACTAGTAAGTACCAGGGGCTCGTGGCTAGCAAAGCATGCAGAGAGCTCTTGCTTTCTTCTGCTGGCTCTGACTCCCTGTGTCCTGTGTACTCCAGGCTGCCCATCCCCCAAGACCTACTTCAACTGTTCCACAGCCAGGCCAGGCTCTACAGGCCTGGAGTGTCAGAAGACGTGTAAGAATCTGGCGATGGAATGTGTGAGTACAAGCACCCTTCCTGTCAGTAACACAGCCTGTCACTTACAGTAAGTACAGGTACCTTACCTAATATTTTTAGCTGTTCTAAAGTTTTTATATATCAATTTCAGTATTCACAAAATGTGAATAAAGTTTTGTGTTTAAATAAAAAAGCCCACTCAGTTTGTGCTGGGTGTCCTTTGTCCCTGCAGTACATTGTTGGGTGCGTGTCGGGGTGCAAGTGTCCCGATGGGCTTTATGACGACGGGATGGAGAACTGTGTCCTTGAACATCAGTGTCCCTGTTTCCATAATGGAGATGTCTTTCCTCCTGGGGTGACAGTGAGGGACAAGTGCAACACCTGGTAGGTCCTTCCCTAGAGCAAATCAGCTTATCAACTTCAGACTCTTCTCGCTATACAGAAGTGTAAGAATATAACTTGAATACGTTTTATCAGAATACTTCATCTACAGTACACCTCACACTATGCCTCATGTATACATTTCAACATTCATAACTGCTGCAATGCAAAATGCTTGATGCTTGATAATACAGCAGACTACAGAGGGGTACTTTCTGTGTGAACTAAGCTGTGCTTATCAGGATACTCCTGTTGATACTGACGGCTGGTGTGATTCCAGCTCTCTTCCCCCGGTTCAATATTTTTGGTGTCTCTCTCTCTCCAGCACCTGCAAGGCGGGGCAGTGGCAGTGCACGAAGGAGAAATGCCCGGGCACCTGCACCATCTATGGCAGCGGGCACTACATCACCTTCGATGAGCAGAGGTTTGGCTTTGATGGAGACTGTGGATATGTGGCAGCTCAGGTACTGTAACACTCTGTCAGCCCAAAGTGTGTTATGAATATGCACAGTAGCTGCTGTTTCATAAGGTAGTTTATGCTGTTATCTTTCTTTTTTAAAAAATCTATATCCTTGCACAGAAAACAACAATTAAATAAGAATTTATAAACTAATCTTGTAACAATTATGTTTGATTTTTTAATTTTTTAAAAATATTACTATGACTACTGTGTTTATTTTACAGGACATGTGTGGAGAAAAATCTGCAAACGGCACCTTCAGTGTGATCACTGAAAACATTCCCTGTGGAACAACAGGCACAACCTGCTCCAAATCAGTGCGGATTTATATGGGGGTAAGAGCCATTTCCTGAATATCATCATAGCTACTTTTCAGGTACAGTATATCATCATCCTTCTAGATCCAATCTCAAGCTGTACTTTATAGAACTGTTCTCCCATGTTTCTGACCCCAGCGCTGAGAAGTTGTCTGGTTTCCTGCAAGCCTCCCCACTGTAGAAACTGGTATAAATGTTGGGCTCACAAGGAGCTGAGCTGTCTGTCTTTCACAGAGAACTGAGCTGAAGCTGTCTGATGGGAAGTATGAAGTAATTGAACTAGACTGGGGAGAACAGGTGACGTACAGAGTGCGGTCTGTTGGCATGTACCTCGTTATCGAAACCAGCATTGGGCTGGAGGTGCTCTGGGACCGGAAGACAGCCCTCTACATCATCCTGGATCCATCATACGCAGTGAGTCAGGACTGCCTGCAGTCAAGGACATCTGGTGTAAAAGAAATTAAATGGGGATTTAGCAGAAGAGACCCCATACTGTTTTTTAACATGTTGCATAGATGGCAATATGGAATGACTCTTCTTGTAAAGTATAAAGTACTGCTGGACTAGTACACTGGGCTCTAATTTCTCAGCATGAAGTGGCTTGTGGGAGGGATTCTGCAGTGCTGCTGTCGCAGGATGTGCCCTGCAGGCTCCCTGACTTCTGCCCCGTGTCTCCTCTAGGGGCAGGTGTGCGGCCTGTGTGGGAACTTCGATCACAACGGGAAGAACGACTTCACCACCAAGGGCCAGCTGGTGGTGGCCAGCCCCCTGGAGTTTGGGAACAGCTGGAAGGTGTCCAGCAGCTGTCCCGACGCAGAGCTCCATGACCCCTGCTCTATGAATCCCTTCCGCCATGGCTGGGCTAAGCTGAAGTGCAGCATCATTAAGGGAGAGACCTTTGAGGACTGCCACCCTATGGTACACCACACCACAGACAATTCACATCTTAAATGTGGACTTTGTATTAAAACAAAGGTTTTATTAATTAGTCACAGATCATTATTAAAATTGTACTTTGACAAATGCCAAGCCTGATGAGTTTAGATTTGACTTTAAAATCCTGCTTATAACTTGTATTATAACAGTGCTCTGATTGCTCTGATAATTTTTTACAAGTAGGTTTGTATAATAAAAACAATTTATTATTATCACAATCATCTTCACTATCTGGATAACTCGTGTCTAAGCACTTGTGTTGTATATCTTGATTGAATTTGGTTAGGGTTATTTAAAATATCCAAAATGTTTATAACAAAGCTGAGTGTGTGGTTTTGATGATGTGTGATAAATGTAAAAAGCAGTGTGTCTTGGCCCTTCCCTGTGCAGGTGGACCCCAGTCCGTATTATGATGCCTGTGTCCGTGACTCCTGTGCCTGTGACACTGGAGGAGACTGCGAGTGCTTCTGCACAGCTGTGGCTGCCTACGCTGCAGCCTGTAATAAAGCCGGTGTTTGTGTGGCCTGGAGAACACCAGAGATCTGCCGTGAGTAGAGTTTACAAAATACAAGTTTATATTTATGGTTCTGCATTTTGCTTGTAGATGCTGCTGCAATTCATGCCTTTGAAAGATACTATCTATAGTGTCTGAAACACCTACATTTCCTGTTTAATAGTTGTATTAATATCACTTAGATTTTTTGTGTTTTTGCTATGCATCTTATTCAGTACATGATTGGTATGATAATATCTGCAATGTAACATAACACATAGGATGGGTGTATAAGTCTGTTCCAATTAGATAGATTCTTAACTTATATGACTTTCTGCACAAGTACAGAGTGAAAGCAGTTGAACTTCAGTACAGTTATCTCTCCGTAAGTAAAAATGGGTTCATTGCAAGTAGATGGCCAACCAACAAAGTCAGAACTCAGAGCTTGATATGAAGGTTATGTATTCTGAATTATGCATTCTGTTTAAGGATTGTATATGTGTTTTGTCTCTTGCAGCTGTGTTCTGCGACTTCTACAACCCCCCTGGAGAGGACTGTGAGTGGCACTACAGTCCTTGCCACAGCCCCTGCATTAAAACCTGCGAGAACCCGGAGGGAAACTGTAGCAACTCACTCCTGAAACTGGAGGGTGAGACTACAAAAACATCATTTCAGCCTGTTCGTCTCCATTCACCACATTCTGATAATCCTCCCACCATTATACTATGGCAGTGGACGATGATAGACTATGAATATAGATACTCCAGATAAAAAGCAAACAAACTTTATATGTCAAAAAACAGACTTAATACGTGTTTAAAGACACTTTGCGGATCCCAGGACAGACTGCATCATTATTACCAATTGCAGCTATAAGAAATTAGCTTGTTTCTAAGTACTGCATAATTACAACATGTTTTTCTCTGTTGCTTTGTAGGCTGCTATGCCAGATGCCCTCCAGACAAACCCCTGTTTGATGAAGAAACCAAAACCTGTGTGGAGAAATGTGGATGCTATATAGATGAAATTCTCTATCGTCCTGGGCAGGACGTTCCCACTGCTGAAAAGTGTACCACGTGGTAAGGCACCCTCAAAAAGAACTACTCATCCAAACTTAAATAATTTTACATCTCTCAAATTGGCTATTGGCAATTCTGTCCTTGACTCTCTTTATCAACAGTTGTACTACCACAGCAGGTTATCATCCTCTGAAATGTAAGCTGCTGGGTCATCTGTTTCTTTTCCACACAGTGAGTCCAGTGTTAACGAGAGAGTTAACAGATGGAGGATGGATACTTTTCCAAACCATAACATTAAAGGCCACAAATGGGCGCTGTGAGGGTAACTTTGCTCCCATAACCCCAGTGGGACTCAGTCAGTTGTGAGACACATCTGGGGAATCAGTCCATTCAAGCCATTCCAGATTCATACTAGAGCAGATGAAGACTGCACCCTGAATGGGCACATTTACTGGATAAACTAATTCAGAACCATGGAACAATCAATCTGAAAACTGTCACAATATGCTCAGCAAACACAAAACACCTCTGAGAAAGCCATGGGTTTTATTAGTAAATATATATTTATGATCTAAACTATCTAAACTGATGACTGTCACGAAGCGTCTTTCAGAACCCTATGCAGACAGCGCAATCCGGAAGGGAGTGAGAAAACACAGGGAAAAAAGACTAGGATAGGGGCTGGAAGAAGAACAGGGGGCGTCTCCAAGGTGCGCTGGTGCTCGGTGGGTGTGTCCAGGGCAAACAAGTCCAAAGGGAGTCTGTGAGAATAACCTGAGAAAGCCAATGTCCAGAGCCAGGTGATCCATCCTGACACAGACGAACGAAGTTAAAAGCCGGAGCGGGATCCGGCGAAGGGCCGGGGGGAATAAAAGGGGGTAACGGGGCCAGGAGCTCCCAGTCCCGGACCCAGATGGTTAGGAAGCCATTGCGAAGCCTGAGCCGTGGAGCCCCTCCAGGACCCTCCCACCTGTGTAGGTGGGCTTCCGGGCATCCATGTTCCAAAGCTGAGCCCAGATTGGCAGGAACGCCTGGCTTTATAGGACGGGGGCAGGTGCGGGAGATCAAGAACAGACAAGGAAGGGCTGGAGCGTCCTTAAGAGGAGGGGTTTACGAGTGTGACAATGACGTGTACTTTGTTTTTATTCTTGCAGTAAATGCACACAATCTGGAAACACAGAATGTGAAAGGAAGCCTGGTGAGTTATTTAAATATAGGCACTTTATAATTGCTGAATGTCTTGAGTCCATGACTCAGTTTGAATCTGCTTTCCACAGGTTGTTGCTTTTACAATGGAAACGAGTACAAGGAAGGAGAATCCACTTCCCAGGACAACGAAGAAGGAGAATGTGTAACACACATATGTAGAAATGGAACCATAACAACATTCAACTGCATTATTACTACAACCATTACATCTACAACTCCCACTACTACACCCACAACAAGTAAAAACTATTTGAGTAATTCTGTTGTTTTAGAATATTGCCAATAACCTAGTGCTCTGTTCGACTACAATAACACAATACTACAATCATATGGTTTTTTGTGTAACTAAGCAGAAAGAGAGAACGATGTAGCTAAAGAGAAGAATTTAGATAACGTTAACAGTTTCTGAAGAAAAATGTTCAGAATTCTCTGAGCTTAACACTCAACGGGTCTATAGGTATAGAAATTTAGTAAAAGATGGAAATCACTTAAAGAAAACGAGAGAGTAAAATACAGAAACAGGACGAATTTCAACTGAAGTCTCATTATAATAAAAAAGATATATATTTTTGTAAAAATTATAACTTTGTTTTTTTCACCCATAGTAACACCTGCAACTACCACCCCCCACATTTCTACAACACGTAAGTCTATTCTGATTTGCCAATTCTCATATTCTTTAGGCTTAATGTTGATGTTCAAAGGGAGAATGTGAGTGTACATTTCTTCCTCTGAACTACTGCATTTTAAGAAGGAGAGCTGAAAGACACAATGCTTTCTTACATTATATACAGTTTGATTAAGACAGTACAATTTTTTTAAACTTTTTTCAGCTTGTGAGAGGAGATGCACATGGACTTCCTGGTTTGATACTACTGATCCAGAGTTCACACCTGATGGTGATGACTTGGAGACCTATGAGAATATTAAAAGCAAGGGTGACAACATCTGTGATCACCCAGAGGACATCAAGTGCAGGGCAGTGTCCTACCCCGAGTACACCCTGGAGGACGTAGGACAGAAGGTGCAGTGCAATGTGTCTTTTGGCCTGATCTGCAAGAAAGAAGACAACGTGAATTTAATTCCTCCCAAGTGCTACAACTATGAGATTCAAGTGCTTTGTTGCAGTAATACCTGTCCACCTACAACAACCCCCTACCCTCCCTCTACAACAATCACCTCTCCACCTCCTACAACAACCCCCTACCCTCCCTCTACAACAATCATCCCTCCACCTCCTACAACAACCCCCTACACCCCCTCTACAACAATCACCCCTCCACCTCCTACAACAACCCCCTACACCCCCTCTACAACAA